CAGCATATATTAAAACTTTAATGGTTTCCACACGTCAGTCTCCAAGATTCATTACAGGCTACGTATACTCTAAGGGGTGTATAGTAACCAATACCCTAAAATTACAACTGTTTGGTATATGCGACGCCTTCATGATCACATTAGTCTCTTAAAAACAGAAATCTTATGCACCTTATGTATTTAAAGGAAACTGTCCTAACGAGAATTCAAGCGAAGATCCAAAAGGAGCGAAAGGGATACAAGGAGAGAAAGAGGGAGATATTGTTGACGCTACCGCTACTATACATATATCATTTGCTTTAAAGTTTTCTGATAATGGTATGTGTGATGAATTTAAAAGGGTGTGAGAGCAAAAATACAGACCATGGTTTGGCTTTTTGGTCAAGTTTTTCCAAAATCTGTTCCAGAGCAGTATCGCTTTTGTCTGAATGATCTATTTCAGCTGCAAATCTGAAACGGATCCATTATACCGCCGTTTCCTTTTAAGACGACCGGCATCGATGCATGTGTCGAATTCGAGTTCATCGACTTTTCAGCGATCACGTCCAAGACTTGAGGTGTCACAGCTGCTGGGACCTGGTTGAACTTTATTGAACGTAGTAGTGGTGCCGTCTGCTGATTTGTTGTCGCTAATAACACCGTCAAGAGCTTTGCTAGCGCATCAGCAGTGATGCTTACACAGGAGTTGAGCTCTAGTGTTTCCAAAGATTTGGCGCCAATACCAATGGCTTCCAATACTGTATCGTCAATGCAATCGTGTTTATCATGAAGACAAAGATGCGTAAGGTTTGGTTCGTTGTCGATATGGCTGAGATCGAGGCGTTCAAGGGAAGGGAAAACGAGTACTGATAATCGTCCGAAAACACTTTCAGATGTGAGTGTGGCTCCTTTAAGATCTAAAAACTTTAAGCTTTCTCGGTAATCTCTTGCAATCGCACAAAGAAGGTCTTGCGATCCATTATAGAAATCTTGCGAATCGTGCAAAGCAAGTCGCTCCAAAGAAGAAGATATAGGCTTGGTAGTTGAGAGGTTGTTCACTGTTTTCGACTTTTATTCGCACTGGTCGTATGCTGCCTGGTCGAGTGTTCCACCATCCTCATAACCGGCGAGGAAAAAAGATACAAGTTTTGGACAATGCTCACGTAAAAGCGACGGAAGCGAATGGCCAGTTGCTACGATATTACACAGGCACAAGGAGAGTCGCTGGAGATTTGTTGCTGTTCTCAGGAACGGTAACGGATCGAAGCTGCCTTCCTTATCAATGTTACAAAACTCTAAACTCAAGCCCACGAGATGCTGGTGTTTGAACGATGGCGCCAACTGTGGTTTATTTTGTTCACCGCCATATACGAAACCATAGTAGGACAGATGGCGAAGGTTCGGGCAATGACACAGTATCATGTCAGGGGTGGTATTGGTCTGGTCCTCTTCGTCGTGTGCGATAGAAACGCGGGCAAGTGTGCTGCCACATATACCAATTAACTTTAGGAAATCTGACTGTTTTACAAGGCTGGAGCATATTTCAACTTTGTCAATAGTTTTTAGTGTTATTATGTAGCAACCGTTATGTTGTTATACGTACCTTCTTCAATCGCGTCGCATTTCAGATCGGTTAAGAAATTAATTACAGCTGTCGAATGATCTCTGTCATAGCTGGCTTGCACGCGTATTTGTTTTACAACAGATCCACGGATGCACGATCGATACGGGAGGAGGTCAGGTACGATGTTGTGCCCATCGTCCATTGACAAACTTTCCCACATGCCCTGCCATTCCAAAATCGCAGAGCGCCAATCGTTGCATACAGAGGCATAATGCCATCGTTCCTTAAAAGTCAAATGACTGAAAACTATGTGTTGTATATCGCTAGGGAGTGTTGACAGATGATCCTTGGCTGTGTTACGCGTTGCCATAGAAAGGAAATACAAAAGTTTGTGGCGACAGCATGTCGGGTGACAATTTATCTTGACCAACGATAAGAGGCATCATGGTAAGTCAAGAATAGGCGGAAACACTTGATAGTTTGGCAAAAATATTTAAATTGCATTATCATTATGAGAAACAGCTATGATTGAAAAAAAAAACAGTGTATGTCGATGTACGAATAAACTATTGTGTCTTTTTGCCTTCTGAACTGCTGATGAGTAATCTTGTCGATATGGATAACCTTGAAAACATGTTTTTAATCCACTTTTTCACGGCATCGTCTCATAGTGAATGATTTGTACGGATGAAAGTTAGGGGCGATATTCTGCTTATTTGTTGGCGGCAGAGTCATCCAGAATTTTTGCCAACTGATTCAAACTGGCAAGCACCGGCCAATGTTATTCAAATGTTAAAGTAATGAGTCTCGAGAGGCAACAACGGGAGAGGTTCGATATGGTGAGCTTTCGTTGTTGTCAAGGAAACGAACTATATATTCCAAAGTCCACGTTTCCCCTTTTGATAATCCTCTTTTGTTTCCGCCTAAACCTAACCTGGGACGTGTACTTTTCCTTGTCAATGTCAAAAGAAAACCCTCAACTACTCGACGAAACTGATTTCGACGCCATTGTGCTCGGCACTGGTTTGATCGAATCCATTGTAGCGGGGTGAGAGTTATCCCGCTTTTTCCTACGCCCGTGGAAATTATTAAAAGATATTAGTAATGGTTGTCAGACGTCATTCCAATGAACCGTCCGACTCTCTGATTATAATAAGTAGTTTTGCCTTTGCCCATTTCAATAGTGTTATCCAAGCAAAAAACATGGTCAGGATAAGAACAAGCATGTCAATCTCCAAGGCGACGTGTCCATGGAATAGACTTTGGGCTAGTGGCTTGAAGATAAACAAGAAGCAGGTATAGATGTACATAAAAACTTTCCTGAGCTTGAATCATTGGAAATACATGAATCTTATATCTTTGGAAGGGTGCCATGTAGAAAGAAAGAGAGGGTGAACCTCATAATAGATTTTATTGCATACATATGATAAGCAGGCAACTTTGATTCTGGAGAATTGCAATTATGGAACATGGGCTATGTAACATACAAGGGCCATTTATTACTCATCTCATAAACAATGCATACACTGCTTAGCAGCCTAGTCGCATACAGTACAAGCTATCAGGAGAAGCTACGGCATACATATAAGTTACATTTTCTGATACAGATACTACTATCTAACGAGAGCTATACACATCACAACCGTTAGTTGCATAGCAAAAGCGAGACTGACACAATGTACATATACTACGTATATCGCAGGGCTATGCTGTTATAATGATACAAATATATCATTTAGGCACACATCATGTATTAAAATATGTGTAATCTCATCACACATCCCAACTTACTCTTTTTTACCGTCTCTCCTGCCCTTAATTATTATGTAAGCATCTCAGTGGTCTTGGGTGAATCCCTCTCTATCTAGGTTCCTGGTGCACTGCGCTCGATCCGATAGGTCTGCCAGACTTGGGATGATTATGTTTCTCATGTTGTCTAGGTAATGCTCCCATTCAATCTGGTCAATAACACATAAATTGCATATGGCCAAGATAGCAAAAATAACTTGAATTCTCGTGGACGTGGTATAAGAGAGGGCCGTGCTAGCAAGACAACTACCAGATATAACTTGATGGACTATTGAGAAAAACCACTGGCTTGGCGTCAAGATCAACATAGTAGATAGATATTCCTACGGTGCGTTGCGTTCGTCAGCATTAAAAAATAGTCATCAACTACCGGCGATGCCTGTGCTGAAGACCGCTTCGCTCAAAGACGTGATACTGCTCCATGCTGTTTCTATCAGTGTAACTGGCTGGAAGCAGCCTTGCAACTACAAATAATATAACAGTTAAAGTTATCTGATCAGGGTACATGCATATGTTATAATTGCGAACAGCTGTACTTGATATTCACTTTGCATATAAAAGGACGTTAGCATTACAACCTACATTTTCGATCGCATAATGATGATAGCAGTCGATAATGTGCATATTAGCAATCTAGTTAATATAATTCCAGCCGCCAAAAATGATCACGATGTGACTCGCGAGCCTAGAGAAAAGAGGCCAAGTTAGATGAGAAGTTAGCATCCACGACCTGCTTAAAAAGAAAATAAAGGAAATATTGGCAACCATAGAGAGGGACAAGGCAAAGGTGTGACGCTCGGCCAGGTTTGCATCCACAACTTACTCGCAGGCATGGAGAGGGACAAGGCAAAGGTGTGACGCTCGGCCAGGCTTGCATCCACGACCTGCTTGCAAATAATTGAAATTACAGGTGCAACAATGGAAAAGCCCCAGAGTGCTTCAATGAGATTTGCGTTCACGACTTACAATCAATTATGACACAACGGAAAAGCTAGTATATGGAAATGTCATCTAGGATATCGATATCGGTCTACTAAAGAAAAGCGAGAAAAATCAGAAGATAGCATTAGTGATGACGTGCAAAAAAAAGCTTAGAAAATGGTAGAAGCATCTCTTCATCAAGGTAACTCCGTGGAGACAAGCTTGGTTACGTATTCTATTGTGTTGTGCAACTGCAAGTAAGCCACAAGCAACGAAACTTACGGAAACGAAATATTTACCTTCTTCTGCTCATCTTTCCACAGCCTCTTTTCTGCACTTACCAGTCAACTGCATTTAGGCCCCGCTTCCTGGGCACGACAAAATACGTCGTCCGGGCTTTTCCAAACTACAAGTTCCGCATTTATTTGTATTCGACCATCAACTCGGGTATATCCGTCGCCGCACCCCAGTAGACGGGATCTACCACCGCATCTTAACAACAAGATTTTTTACCGACTTATGGGAAGGGAGGATCTACTTTCTTGCCGGATTTGCGAAAGTTGCGATACAAACTACAGCACCAGGGGGAGGCATTTTGGGTCTCAGTGACGCTCAACCTTTGCACCAATATGTGCAACAGCAACTGCCACGATGGCAAACACGAGCATACAAACAACTTTGCACGCCACCACAACACAGCGTACCCCAGATCGTCGCCAAACAGTGAAAGCAATTTTGGCGTTGGCCAATGGAACATGGATCCCGCAACCTATGGTATCGTACCATATACAACTCGTTACCAACTGCCGAGCGTCTGTTCCGTCTGGGTCTGCAGGATCTTACCAGTGCTACATGCCGCTTATGCAATGACGATATTGATACTCCTGCACACTTGCTAGTGCTTTGTCGCCACCGCCATTCCGTATGGAACCTTATCTGGGGACAACACTACTACCGAGCTGCATACTGATCGCCTTATACATTTTCTTCGGACGCTCTCGTGGCCTGACTACCATTCTCCACCAACACACCATTCGCGCTATGCTCCCACTCTCATCGCCTGCACTATGGGAGGTATTTGGGCGGCGTACTGGCAACTCATCTTTGATGATATCCCATACACTATGGCAAGCGTCAAACGCAATATCACCAAAGGTTTCACTCGTTTCCATCTAGCCAACGCATAGTGCTATTACATCTTCTGTAACAGATCAAGCAACCACAGCTGGTAATCTTTCTTTGTTCCTTTATCTCTTAATTTGTACGCTAGCAGTCTCTCAATGCCTCGGTGCGCGTGACTGATTTCCCCCCCCCTCGATAATCAATAAAATTGAGGCCACCCACACCTCTCTACTTCTCGGGGATAAAAGACAAAACGAAATATTTACCTTCAGGCGTTTAAGTATAACGAAATAGAGACGCCAGGATGTGCAACATCCTTCGAGGAGGACAAGTGAGAACGCAGGTCCAGGCTTGTTGCTTGAGAGGGCCTAAAATACTCCAGTGATTGCTATATTGCACCTACCACCTCGTCGCGGTTGAAGGTGTTTGCTGCGAAGCGTGGACAACGAGGATTCGTGCATTTGAGAGCGCCAATAGCAGCAACCACGTTGTCGCCAGCTCGATATTTCTGTAATTGTTTTCGGGCTGTCTTGCTTTTGCAGTATTCGTTTATGACGACCAGCATGTCACGTTTGTGAGGGGAGTTCCCAGCCGTTTCTTTGAGTTTTTTGTTCGCTCGTCAGGCATGACTTTGTATCGACACGTTTGGACCTGTATACTTCTCGAAGGACAACCATTATCTTTCTGTGCTTAGCCATTGTATGTGGCGTCCAAGATCCGATATTGGTCGCTTATGATACGAGGTCATTCATTTTATATATGATCACGAGCAAGCACTGGTAGCCGTAGCTATCGTAGCAAGAGAAGTCATAGAAACCCCAGTAGAGGTGTCAAACTAGGCGTCATCTAAGAAGAAATTGTCTGCCCGGTTCGTACCTAACAATGCGGGTGGCAAAGACTATACAATTACGCAGACGTCTCCTATCGGAACACATTTATTTTGGTTATCTGGAAGGGCAAACACGTTCATACAGGCCTGCCACAATCGCAAGCTGGGTCAAGGAAGTGCTACAGAAACTACAGCAAGTTGGTGCTCATACTACCATTGTCAAGGCATACTCGACCCGAGCAGCGGCGAGTACCAAGGCTATTGAACAAGGCATCGTGGATATGTTGAAAGAGTACGGAACTGGAGCATGCATAGCAAAACTCTTGAGAAATATTACCATCGACCCCAGGTCTAACACAAACGAGGCCGCTAACAATTTTTTCCATCAACTGAAACTATAACCACCACTTCTGATGCTGAAGCAAAGTAGTTCAAGTGGTAGACGTCTACCCTGGTATCGACTTTGGATAATATGGCCCTCCGATTGACGATGAAATGAGATTGTCAACTTCATCTTAGCTTAGAAGGAACTTGAGGTTATAACCCATGGATAGGAAGATTTTGTTGAGAATAAAGCACGGCATAGAGAGCCAATGACCCCTTCACTTCTGAGGTTTCCACTCTGACACCTATGCCAGTTTGTGTAACTTGGAAAAAACAGTAGACAGAAACTGGAAATGCTGCGGTTTCGTTATTCATCAAGAAAAATTTACGTCAGAGGAATTTTCTCTTTTTATTTTTTTTATAAAGGACCATAGACCCGATTTTATTTGGTCAAAGGAATTTTTAAGTCAGTCACAAGCATAGAGATGGTTCCCACAGCGACGCGTCGCAACTACACTGTACCTTTGTATTTGACAGTTGCTTACCTACAACAATGACCTCTGCATCTGATAGCCTTGGGTACCTTGTCCGTGTCTTTCCCACCTATTCAACCGAAGTAGTTACAGAGACTTTTGACAACCAGCAACAACTTGACGAGTGAACTACTGAAAACCTCAAGCAGCATGCCAACTTCAACACCAACAACAAGTACATCTCCGTACCCAAGGCTTCAGATGCACGCCAAAACAATGCCGGCCGTCCTCGGACAGTTGAACGTAGTATTACTTTTTTCTGTGATCACTTAAGAAAAACATCGGTTCCAGCTGTCCCTGCTCTGCCTGTAGACTCAACTGAGCCTGCTCCCATAAAAGAACGTCAACTTGCAAAACCTTCCATTAAAGTAAACTGTCGTGCTCGATATTGTATCCAATACTTGGTCTCAGGCAAAATTAAAGTTGTATATCACTGGCAACATCAGCACTATGACCCTACGGATAACCAATGCTACTCGCTCACAAGTCCCCCCCCTGAAACACGTAAATGGATTGAAAAACTTGTCAATAACAAGTTGGAGTGGGATCAAATTCAGGAACATCTGCGTTTGACTAGTAAACAACTTCAAGATGTAAGTATCATGTATATATGTAAAGCAAAACTTTGATATCAACTTGTAGAGATGCTAACCGGTGGTATCAGCTCGAGGAAGGCGAAGGACCATTCCCGGAAGCCTTACGTGTGAAGCAGCATCATGTCATGAATATCATCGCCAACTAACAGTCAAGATTAGCAAGAAAAGATCCAATCGATAGAGAAAGTGTAGTCAAATGGCTTCTCTATCTAAAAGGTCAAGGTTATCAGACGTTGGATTATACCAAGAATTATACTTTTGCTGTTGCATTGATATCACCACGACAAGCTTTGGTAAGAAAAGACATATACTTAAATATAAGGCACTGTTCGTATATTACGATACGTATGTGCTCTATAGCTGCTCAAGAAATCAAATGAGATCTGTATTGATGCCACACACAAGACTTGCAAATCTAATATCAATGGACGGGCTGATGTGTATCTGTTCTCTATCGTTGCTAAGCATACAGTTACTGGACAAGGTTACCCTCTTGCTTTTATGATCACAGATAAGAAGATAGTGAAAGTCTGCAAGTATGGTTTCGATGGCTCCAGGACAGAATGGAATACACACCAACAAGGATCATGATCGATTGCAGTCCAGTTGAAATTAACAGCATCCAAGAAGTTTATGGTCATCAAGTTCAAGTTCCTCTGTGTCATTGGCACATCAAAAGAGCATGGGAAAAGAACATTATGTCCAAGGTACCTTTTAATTAGCCACATTTCGTATTTATATTTAAAATTCCTTTTTTAAAATGTTGGGTTATAGATTAAAACTACTCTGTCAACAGACGATACGAAGAAAAAAAGAGATGAAGCTCGTTCTGCCCTTAGTGCTTTGATGAATTGCAAAACCGTCGTTGAATTTGTGCATGCTTGGGATGAATTTGGTAAAAAATGGTGTGATACATATGAGCATTTTGAATTTTATGGCTATGTGTTGGACTATTGATATCCTAAGCATCATCTTTGGTGCAAAGCTTGGAGAGAGGTACGTTTTAGGCTCGTTTTAGCTTTATTTTGCGCTTCAATATTATTTACGGTTGTATATTCTATTGAATGCGTCCTTCCATACAAGTAATCTGATCGAAAGCTGCCATTTCAAACTTAAACGCAAATATCTTCCATACAGTCGCAATCATCGTGCTGATCGTGTGATCTATGTGCTGACACAGTTGGTCGAAAATGTTTACCGTGCTCAAGTCCTGCGTGTTTTGGCTGGTGTTGAAGAAACAACAGCAACTAGAGAAGCTCAACAAAGGAAAAAAGAAGCTTGCAGAAAAGCACCAGATGAAGCTGACTGGATGATAACTTTTTATGATGACCATGTATGTATCATTTCTGTATATGTGCGTTTACTTTTACAATTGCTGATCGTACCGTGACATTAAGTCACCTGTCAATCTTTTACTAGTTCTGCATTGTATACTCTAAAGTTTGAAAAAACCAATAGCAATGGCGTTATTGGTTCTTGTAGTTGTGAAGACTTTAAAAAGCGTAACCAGCCATGCAAGCATATATATCATATCGCATATCACACCACCATTCCAGTAATCATAAACCAAAGCTTTCCTCGCCATTCAACAACAACAGTATCATCATCATCAATACCAGCATCGTCATTACCAGCATCATTAATATCATCTACGTCGTCAACAACATTAACAGCATATGTGCAACTACCACCACCATCCTTACAGCAGCAGCAGCATAGAAACGATCTGCTCGCTGAATATGAACGCTCGAAAAATCAACTTGATAATATATTTGCAAAAAGCAAACCAAAAATAACTACAACACAACTAGAAAATATGATTATTCTACAAAAAAGGCTGTACACGAACATAGAGAAAATCATCAATCCAAACGCACGTCCCTCTTGTCAACAATAAAGATTATAATATATATTTAGCAGAGATACTTATCACATATGTTTTGTTCTCGAATACTCTAAGTTTTCGATACAGTTGTTGGACTTGTAAATTGGGACTTGGAATTTCTCTATGCTTGTGACTGACTACAAAACTCCTCTGACGTAATTTTTCTTGATGAATAGAGGAACTCGAAATGCTGTGGCTGGCAGAGGTCACTTGACTTCGTTTAAGATCATTGCAGCAAAAGGTTCATCTCAAAGTACATTACCACCTCGAGAATCAGAGCGGGGTGAGCAATCAGAAGCTCAAAACTGGGAAGATGGTAATAATTAAAAAGTAACAGCGACATCGCGATTACACAGATACTAAAACATGTACTCATGTAGTTATTAAAGATGCTGGCAATAGTTTAACGTTTGCAAATTTCGTCAAAGACAAAACAGAATTTATTTTAAAGCAAACAAAAATTGGTGAAGATTTTAAGAACAATTGGCTCTCTCGTTTTAGCAAAGTTGCTTGACAACTTGGAAAACCGGTGGTACGTTTTCACGTGGTTCTACATATCTATTGATGCCAATGATAGCAGCAAATTCTCACCTTGTTTTTATCTTAGAAACGCAGTAAACCAAATTGGTCAGAGCTTTGTGTGTGTCTTATGGAACAGGCGACGATCAACACTGGAGCCAAGGTCGCAACAAACGCTTTTTCGAGTAAATCAAGCCACACAGTTTCGGGACGCTCTAGCACTGCTTCTATATCAACTCTAACCCCCAGCAACCGCCTATGGGTAAAAATGATATATGAACGGCTAGCAGCAAGTCAAAAGTGGTGGCTGCTCGCTAGAGCAGA